AGTAAAAAGAGAGGAGGAGGAGGAGGAGAGGAGGAGGAGGAGGGGAGGAGGATCAGGAGGGAGGAGGAGGAGGAGGAGGAGGAGGAGGAGGAGGAGGAGGAGGAGCAAGAGCAGGAGCAGGAGCACGAGCAGGAGCAGGAGGGAGGAGGGAGGAGGGGGAGGGAGGAGGGAGGAGGGAAGAGGGAGGAGGGAGGAGGGAGGAGGGAGGAGGGAGGAGGGAGGAGCAGGACGAGGGACGAGGCCTGGCGCGACCGTCCGTCGAAACGAACAGCTGGCGGGACGGCCGAGGCGGCGGCCGCGTCCTCAGCGGAGGACGAAGGTGGCGTACACCTCCAGCGCCAGCATGGGCCCGCCCCCAGGAGGGACCAGACGGGCCATCCGCGTAGCGGATGGCGACGTTCCCGCTCTCCCTAACGGGAGCCACGCGGGCAATAAAGAAGCCTTAGTCCCCAAGGAAGGCGTAGGACACGGCGAAAAAGAAGAAATGGGCGTCATTGATCAGGCACTTGTGTACGCCGCAGTGCCCCCCAGGTCGCCCATGAGCACGACGGAGGGCCCGTCCCGCGCATAGCAGCACCACCGCCGCCCTGCGCAGGACACTCGATATGGAAACAGCGCCGCCGATCAAACACCTGACGACACTGCAGAAGCCCTCCAGCTGCGCCACCTGCCCACGAGTAGACAGGCATCCGCCCAGCCAGCGGCACGTTCACCCAGCTGCGCCACTTGCCCACGACATAGTAGACAGGCCTCCGCCCAGCACGGGCACACCCGCCAAGCGAACACCAGCGGGCCGAAAAAGCCGAGGTCCATGCCAAGACCTCGGTGATGCACGAAAACACGGCCTCAGCCTGAAACAAACCGTCAATCACACATTCAATAGTTCAGAAGCACGTCGATCAAATAGACGAGCTCGACTTGCTTGCGCTGCTTGCTCCACCACCAGCAGGCATAGCATAAAGGGTCAGCGACACGTTGTCCTTTGGGTGGAGCCCCATTCAGCCATCCACGGTGTCGTGTTTCGATTGTGGACAGGAAGGTCTTGCCCTTTCCTTCTCCACTCGGTACCCCGCCGCACTCTGACATGAGTTGTTCGAACACTCCTCCACCCGACCAGCCACGCATACTCCACAGAAAACCGTAGGTCCTGGCACGCCGAAGGTGGTGCCCATTGCAAATGGTAACATCTGCCTCTGCCCATTCGTAGACCAATATATCACCAACAACCCCAGAGTCTTCGAGGGTAGGCGCCGCATCCAACGCACCCATCGCAAACCTTCCAGCCTCCGAAATATCATAGGCAACGCCGCATCCGAACTCAACCATAGCTTCAGCACGTAGCGCGTCCAGCTGGTTATGCTGGCACGCCGATCTGAGAAACAAATTCGAAGCAGCCCTGGAACTCCCTTCCGTTATCCTCGTGCACCTTCGGCACACAAAGGAGCCATCAGACGACTTCGCCACGACCTGCGAGGCCACCTGCAACGGCATGAGACGGACACCGACAGGCTTGGGAACGACATCTGGACGAACAGGTTCCCATCTTCCCGCCTTCAGCGACCGTTGCACGGCCCACCCTATGTAGGCGGCCACCTGCTTGGCAAAACGCATCTCGACCTTGTAGAACTCCTCGTAGACCGTCGGCGCAGCATGTGTGCGCGCGCCCCGCCGTGCGAACCAGTCTGCCCACATGCTGCTCAAATAGAGCAGCGGGCTCATAGAACGATCCGGGTGTTCGTCGATGCCCTTGCGCGCTTGCAAACGCCTCCATACAGTAGCATGCACAGCCGCCGCTGCTTCCAGCTCTGGCCCCCAGGAAGCACGCTCTGCCTCCAGGGCCAGCAGGTCTGTGAACACATGCTCCAGGTTCGGCCCGAACAGCGTCGCGGCAATCAGCAGCGCGTGCCGAACAGCTCTTCAAGCAGTTTGCAGCGGTCCAGGTAACGGCCCGAACGCTGCTCTCATCGGAATTCCTTGCCTCGCAAACTGCACCACAGCCCAGCCGCATCTCTTGAGCTCAGGGATGGATGGGGCTAGGCCTGCGCCGCCCGCGAAGACAGCATTCCCAAAGAGCTCCTTGGGAGTGGATCAACCGCCCCAGTAGTACACAGGGAGGCCGAACTTGACCTTGGGGATCGTGGGCGGCATGCAAGGCAAGCAGACTCCCAGCTCGAAGGTGTCCCAGGACTCGCCCGTGACCTGCTGCATGCCCTTGCCCCTCATGTACGCGCAGATGTCCGTGTGTCTCTCAGGGGGGGTATTGCTTGCCTCCTCTGGGTTGTCCAATGGTTCAAACAGCGCTTCGCAACCAAGGAACCCGTGCCCCGATGCGTCGCTCTCCTGACCGCAAGCGAGGCACCTAGGCGATGAGACAAGGTTGAAATCAAACTTGGCCTGGCGCGTCCAGGCGACCCCTGACCAGCGAGCCCGCAGGCTGGCAGCGTGCAGGCCTTCCTTGACAGCTGCCTTGGCCACGCCCAGACACTGCCGCAGGGCGCGCACCCACAGCTGCGCTTGGTCGCCGAGTGGATGCTGAAACATCGACATAATTCGCCTGCCCTGCCATCGCTCGATTGCTTCGACCAAGTGCCTGCGTAAATCCTTCGGCGAGACGGCCAACAGATTGAACATCTCCTCTCTATCGTTGACCAGCACCGTCGACGAGTACATGTACCAATCAATGCGCCAGAGCGGAAGGATGATGGACGAGATTGGACCTCTCGCCTCCTGCCAAGACGCCATGCCTTCGCCGACCATATTGGTAGTAATGGCAGCCCAAGCGTGATGTAGCTGACTCAGCGAAATCTTTTGTTCCCGCACCCACGCCGCATACCTGCCTACCAGATCGCACGTTGCCATATAGACTGGATCAAACTCATTCGACCTCTGCGTCGCCAGGTATAGCGTTAGGCTTGAAGATCCTGGTCTAGACCCGACCAGTCTGCCAGCCTCTCTGCGCGCAGTTGGCCGAGGCGTTGCTCCGATAGTCCAGCCACTCCAACACCATGTCCAGCACTGGGAAGTGGCCCCGTCTTTCACAAGCACGCAACTTCATTGTCCACAGCACACTGGATCATGCGAAGGCGCCGCCTCCTCGCAACAATGCTAGCTATTCTCTGCGTGGTGAGCCTCCTCGGCTTGCGCCTGCCACGCATGTCATGACCCAGATTGCGGGTCCAGCTTCGGCAAAGCAAGCTTTTGGCACCACCATACTTCTTGCATGCAGACGCCACCTTCTGACACAACGGGATATAGCCAGACTTATCCACTTGACTGATGATGCCCAGCTCCTTCGCGCCTTCTCGAAACCATGTGGCCGCAGCCCAGAAAATGCGTGATTGATCCGTCGACTCGCCAAAACCCATTGGGGACTGATATCACCCACCAGTGCTCTTGGGGTAATCGAAGGCGACCTGACAGAATCAAATAGCCTGTGTAAAAGAACTGAGACCAGAAAACGCGCGTGTGAGCACCCGGCCAAGATACCTTGGAAGGCGGTGGCATTCTCGCTGATGGACCCGAATGCTCGCAGCCGTCGCGGCTGGCGGTACAGCTCAAGCACCATCAACACGGGCCTCAGGTTCATGCCCAGCGCTTTGGCCTCATTGAGCAGCGCCTGGGGCTGTATGGTCTCGGAAAACTTGAAAGCATCCATCATCGCAGTAACAGGATACATATTGGACGCCTCCGCCACTTCTGTTTCCAAATTCAAATAAAAGCAGAATCTGCTGACGTGCGCCCAGCTCCCAGTCCCCATATGTCTGCACTCGGATGGCTTCAAATCCATTCCGCGCCCATACCCGAATGATACTGGCCATCAATGTAATGAGCCTACAACCTCCGCTTGGCTTTGGCAATCTGACCATCTCATGCCATATCCGTTCACCTGGCCACGTGCACCAATCCTCACAGCATTCGAACAGCGCGGCAATGGTGTAGAGGCCATCATCCGACAAGAGCAGCAGCGCATGCACCGCAATCCTTCCTGGGCTTGTTGCCGTCTTCGCAGAGAAAGAAGCCACCGCTGCCTTGATCATGTCGACTGTGATGTTGGGGAGCTTGGGCCAAGACCTCGCATCTCCAGGTAGCTCGAGTCAGTTCAACCCGCGGCACCTCCAAATCTTGGCCCAAGGCGCGATCTCGCGATCGCAGAATCCCCATGGTGAGGCCGAGCTGGAACGGTCCGTCCAAGCCGACAGCACCTCCTGCAACTCCTGCGTCTTGGACATCCCGCGCGCACGGTTCGCCCCTCTCGCGAAGGAATCCTGCGCAAACCTTACACAAGCATCACGCCTCTTCGAGACCGCTTTATCATAGCAAGTCTGGCAGCACTCGACAATTCTGCTAGCTACATCCGTGACGCCGCCCCTGCAGAAAACGCCGATGCCACAACAAGAGAAATCTCTCGCCCAGTGCTCTAAATGCGCGAGGATGTGAGTGGAGTTCGTGATCTTGCCCAGATACGCCTTCGCTTCCAAGACGAATTGAGCTAATTTGCGATACGTGGCATCATCCAACGGACACATCAAGCTGGAGCGATACAGCTCGTTCAGCGACCGCTGGGTGCACGCCCTGTCTCTCATAAGGTGCTTGGCCCACCTGGACGCCACCTTCATCGCCTGCGCCCGGGGGCCAAGCCTGGTGCGTCGAGCGGGAGGCAGCCACTTCACCGACTTCAGCTCGGTCACGACCCTGCTAGCCCTGCCCTGTAATAACTTACGTGTCCGGCCAGCCACATCAGACTTGTCCAACAGCTCCTGCTCCGCGGTGGAAAGCACGTTGCCCTATGCCCTCGGAAGGTCCTGCACCGACCCCGCAGAACGCATGGACGCTAGCGCTGGGGCCCAATCCTCGACCCCTCTGGCACACCCAGTGGGCGAAGTAGCTACGATACCCCTCGGCATAACTGGCACCCTCACCTTCGTGTCCAAGTCATCTGCGGCCAGCTCCATACGGAGGAGGAGGAGGAGGAGTGGGGAGGAGGGACGCCGCCGCTGCAGGGGCTGACGGCCGCGCAGCAGAGCAAGTATTGGAAGGAGTGCATCGCCAGGCTCCCGGTCGCCCTCGGGGAGGGGGCGCGAGGAGGAGGGGGCCCAATCCCTTTTCCTCCTCCCCCCTCCCTCCTTCCCCCTCCTCCTCCTCCTCCTCCTCCTCCTCCTCCTCCTCCTCCTCCTCCTCCTCCTTTCCTCCTCCTCCTCAGCCTCCTCCTCCTCCTCCTCCTCCTCCTCCTCCTCCTCATCACCATCATCATCATCATCATCATCACCATCATCATCATCATCATCATCGTCATCATCATCATCATCATCATCATTCGGCTGCTCCGTTCTCATCATCATTCGGCTGCTCCGTCCTCCTCCTCCTTCTCCTCCTCCTCCTCATCATCATCATGTTCCTTCTGCTGCCCCGTCCTCCTCCTCCTCCTCTTCCTCCTCCTCCTCCTCTTCCTCCTCCTCCTCTTCCTCATTGTCCTCCTCATCCTCCTTCTCCTCCTCCTCCTTCTCCTCCTGCTGCTTCTCCTCATCCTCTTCCTCTTCCTCCTCCTCCTCCTCTTCCTCATTATCCTGCATTCCTTCTCCTTCTAGATAAGTTGTCCCTGTCGCACCCCGAGGCCAATGTGTAGGGTGGGCCGGGCGTTTCGCTTGAGACATCCTCACCACGTATGCTTATGAAGTTTAAAAAATGTCAGCAGCTTCACAGATGGAGGGCGGGTGGTTTTCGAAATGTGGCTCTCGCCTTAGCGCCGCGCGCATTCGTTTTAAACATTTGCAAATGTTTCACGGATTGAGGGCGGGTGGTTTTCAAAATGTGGCTCTCGCCTTAGCGCCGCGTACATTTGATTTAAACAATTGCAATTGTTTCACGGATTGAGGGCGGGTGGTTTTCAAAATGTGGTTCTCGCGCTAGCGCGGCGCATACTCGTTGTAAAAATGTGCCAGAGTTTCACGGATTGAGGGCGGCTCCTTTTCAAAATTTGGCGCCGCGCACATTCGTTGTAAAAAATTGCCAGAGTGTCACGGACTCCCATGATCAACGTACCAGAAATGGTGTTTTGGAAGGACTCAGGATTTTGCGGGCGCAACAGTTATGTTGAATCGTTGTGTCGAAGTCCCAAAAATGGCCTTCTGGCACGATTCTGGATCGTCAAAACGCAGCAGTCAGGTTGATACGTGGCGTTGACATCCCGAGAACAATGTTTTGGCACGCTTCAGGATCTTCAAACTGCTACCTTCCAACGAGGCAGTTCCCTCAATGAAAATGAACCGTTGTAGGGGCCTATGAAGAGGGAGCTTGGAGGGAGGGTTAATTCAAACATCGTTGATGACTCTCGGGTTTCCACTGGTCCTCCTCCTCCTCCTCCTCCTCCTCCCTCCTCCTCTTCCTCCGCCTCCTCATCCTCCTCTTCCTCCTCTTCCTCTTCCTCCTACTCCTCCTCCTCCTCCCCCTCCTCCTCCTTCTCCTCCTCCTCCTCCTCCTTTTCCTCCTCCTCATCATCAGCATCATCATCAGCATCATCATTATTCGTCCTCCTCCTCCTCCTCTTCCTCCTCCTCCTCCTTCGCCTGGCGCCGGCCGCGTGTTCGGCCTCGCCGCCTGGAGCACAAAGGTTTCCGCCGACCTCAGAGGGCGCGGCACCCCCCCAGGGTGGCCGGCTGTCTCAGACAGCAGCAACTCCCAGGGGGGAGGGGTCGGCCGGTCAGGGCCTAGACTCCGTTACCCGGGAGCGCGGCCGGTTCCGCGAGAACCCAGCAGCCGTTCTTCCCAGGCCCCGGAAAGCCAGCGCGCCAGTCGGGCCAGCCGCGGCCGCCCACCGCCCAAGCTGCGCCCGCACCAGACTTCCCGGCGGTGTCGCGCCGCCGCTGGCCGCTGGCCAGTGCCTGCCGCCGTTTTGCCGGACTGGCCTGGCGGCCGCGCCCGGCAGCCGCGCGGCGCCCACAGCCCGGCCGGCGTGCCGGCCCCGTCCGCCAGCCGCGCCGAGCGCCTGCGACCCGGCCAGCGCCGTCCGCCCAGCGCAGCCCAGCCCCAGCGCGGCCCGGCGCTGCAGGAGGGGCGCCCGCCGCCCGGTCAACTGCGCAGCGCGCGGCCCAGCCCTGCGCCTGCGCTGCCTGCGGTCGCTGGCCGCGCCCGTGCCGCCAGCGTTGCCGCATCGTCCGTCGGCCGAGCCTTCGCCGCTCAGCCCTGCGAGGGCCGCGCCGCCGAGGCCTCGGCGCTCAGTCTGGCGCGTCGCTCGAGCGGGCCAGGGCCGCCGGGGTCGGCCAGGCGCCGCGTCGCGCTAGCATCGGGGGCGGCAAAGAGGGGGGTGATGACTAGGGGGGGGGGAGATCATGGCGGGGGCCATGATATCTCCCGTGATTTCATGGCGCCTCTTCTTATTTCAATACGTTCTCTGGCCCCCCCCCTGGGTCCGCGCACATGCCGCCGGCCATGATTTGCACCCCCCCCTCTTGGACGCCCCCCTCTTTGCCGCTCCCGATAGCGGTAGGCCTCCGCGCTGCCGCGATGCAGCGCGGCGGCCAGGCTCTGCCGCGCCGCCGTCAGGTCGCCGGCCGCCCAGCAGCGCCTGCGCCTCCTTCCCAGCTCGCCCCTGCGTTTCCAAAGCAAAGGCGACCAGGGCAGGGCCCAGGTAATTAGCGCCGGTGCTTGCGGGTCTCCGCCGCTGCCGCCGCGGCCACGTCGCGCGCGGCGCGGCTTCGCCCGGCGGCCGTGCCCGCGCCCAGGGACGCGTTGGCGATCACCGTTCGGCGTAGGTGACCCCAGTGACCTTGTCGGTGAAGGCCACGTCCAGCCTCGAGGCCTCGTCCAGCCACGTCCAGCCCCCTCCCCCTCCCCCCTCCACTCCTCCTCCTCCTGCTCCTCCTCCTCCTCCTCTTCCTCCTCCTCCTCCTGCTCCTTCTCCTTCTCCTCATCCTCATCCTCATCCTCCTCCTCCTCCTCCTTCTCCTCCTCCTCCTCCTCCTCCTCCTTCCTCCTCCTCCTCCTCTCCTTCTCCTCCTCCTTCTCCTCCTCCTTCTCCTCCTCTCCTGCTTCCGTGCTCCGCTCCTCCTCCTCCTCCTCCTCCTCCTCCTCCTTCCTCCTCCTCCTCCTCCTTCTCCTCCTCCTCCTCTCCTCCTCCTTCTCCTCAATTCCTTTTCCTCATGAATAACTTCTCCCTGTCGCACCCCGAGGCCAATGTTTAGGGCGGGCCGGGCGTTTCGCCTGAGACTTCCTCACCACTTATGGTTCGGGAGTTAAAAATGTTACAAGAGTTTCACAATTGGAGGGCGGGTCGTTTTCAAAGTGCGGCTCTCGCCATCATTTATAAATTGCAGCAGCTTCACGGATTGCGGGCGGGTCGTTTTTTTTTGTTATGTGGTTCTCGCCCTAGCGCCGCGCACATCCGCTTTAAAAATGTTGCAAGAGCTTCACGGATTGAGGGCAGGTGATTTTCAAAATGTGGTTATCACTCTAGCGCCGCGCATATTCGTTTTAAACATGTGCAAGAGCTTCACGGATTGAGGGCGGGTGGCCTTCAAATGTGGCTATCGCTTTAGCGCCGCGCGCATTCGTTGTAAAAAATGTACAAGAGCTTCACGGATTGAGGGTGGGTCGTTTTCAAAATGTGGTTATCGCTTTAGCGCCGCGCATTTTCGTTCTAACAGATAGCAAGAGTTTCACGGATTGAGGGCGGGTCGTTTTCAAAATGTGGATCCCGCTTTAGCGCCGCGCACATTCGTTGTTTTAAGCTTGCAAGAGCTTCACGGATTCCCAGGATCAACGTTCCAGAAATGGTGTTTTGATTACGGATTCTGTTTGTGCAACACTTATGTTGGTTCGCGGTGTTGAAGTCCCAAAATGGCGTTCTGGCACCATTCCAGATCGTCAAGACGCAGTTGTCAGGTTAATCCGTGGCGTTGAAATCCCGAGAGCAATATTTTGGCATGCTTCAGGATGTTCAAACGGTTGTCTTCCAACGAGGCAAATCCTTCAATGGAAATGAACCGCTGTATGGGGCCTATGAAGAGGGATCTTGGAGGGAGGGTTTATTCCAATATCGTTGATGATGATTGGGCTTTCGTTGGTCCTCCTCCTCATCATCCTCCTTCTCCTTCTCCTCCTCCTGCTGCTCCTGCTGCTTCTTTTCCTTCTCCTTCTCCTTCTCCCCCACTCCTCGTGCCCCTGTCCCTGCCCCTGCCCCTGCACTCCTTCACCTACTCCCCCTTCTCATCCCCTCCGTCTCATCTGGCATCTTGACCTCGCTTTTGGCGGGGTCGGAATGCCTTCAAGAGGAAATTCGATGTCATTTGCTGCGGAGGTGGGGTCTCGTAAACCCGCCTGGGCAGGGACTTCGCAGACCTTTGGCCCGTCCCTGATATGAGAATAGTCCCCGTGGCTTGGCCACAATCGCGGAGAACACAGGATTAGATCCAGTGCACGGCGAATTTTGCGTGGGGAGGTTGGTGCGGCTGCGTTTATAGCAGACCGAGCAACCCCAAGTTCCACCATCGCCAACTCGAAACTGGGGCATCGACGAAGAGGGACCTGAAGGCACGGTGATTACCAGAGGAAGAGGCGGAGGGGGAATCGAGGAAGAAGCTGTAGCCTTTCCAGATGAGCTAGACGCCTGCCCTGGCACCGCAGCATCAGTGCCTGAGCAGCACTCGCCCAGGACCTCCGCAGTAAAGGCGTACAGTGGAGGCCCATGCCAAGAGACACCCTGCTTGCCTCCAGGGTGCCCTGGGTTTCTTGGGTTTCGATTAGTTTGCCGCGGAAGGCGTGACGCTCCCACACCGAAAATCCATGGACGTCCTGGGGTCTCCGGGTTGGGTTTCTTGTGGAATGTTTCTTGTGGACTGGCCTCCGCTGCAGGGGGTTGGAAATTCTAGGCCGAGGCCAGGAAATCTTCCCGGATCTGATGGCCCCCCTTCTTTCCACAGGCCCACCTGGTCACCTCCCCTCGTCTGCGCACTTGCCCCAGGCTGCAGGGGGGTGGCAATGCTTGGCCGAGGCCAGGAAATCTTCCCGGATCTGATGGCCCCCCTTCTTTCCACAGGCCCCCCTGGTCGCCTCCCCTCGCCCGCGCACCTGCCCCCAGGCTGTGATCTGCGACCCCCCCTCTCGTCGTGCCCCCCTGGTTGGGCGCTCCCGGCCCCGGGGCCCGGCACGGGCTCCCGGAGGCCTGCCCCTCCCCCGGCCCTGCCTCTGGCTCGACGGCGGGCGTTGCCACCACTGCCCTGCTCGCCCGGCGCCGGGCACTCCGGCGCTCCGGCCACGAGCTTGCCCCTCGGTCGTGGAAAGCAAGGCTTTCTGGATGCCCAGATCCCAATCTCCTTCGAGCGCCTGCCTGCTTCAAGAGTCGTCGACTGGTGGTCCCTCTTCTCTCCTCCACAGGAGGCGGGCGGAAACCCAATCTGCTTCCAACGCCTTCATGCTTTGTGTGTCTACCTATTTCTTCCGACCGGTGGATAAGATATGTCTGGAGCACACTAGTTCTTGACGACTGTAAGCCGACCTCGGCTGACGATAGCAAGTTACGCCTATTAGCTCCTGGCTTGGCCGCTGTATCAGCCTGTTCGTTACCTGAGGCATTCCCCCTCTCGAGAGGCCCTTCAGGGCATTTTTGCGGGGCTACATGGGCAGGCACCTGAATGCAAGGCACCTTCGTCGAGGATGCACCTATAATTCTGAGCTTGAGTCCCGCATAGATAGAGCGCCTGTACGATAGACTCTCTAAAGGCGCGCAGCGAAGGCCTACTACCCATATACCGTCTGCTCTGACATCTGTCGTTCCATGGGCGCATGTGACGGCAGCTAGGACCGCCACGTGTTCGGCGGCAGGACTGGTTTGGAGCAGCATGATTCCGATGCGGCCGCACATCCTGGCGATTACATCTCCAGTCTCCGAAAGTTCAAGGAGTCCCCCACCTGCTTGATGGAATTTGGGGCGCCCGTCTTTAAAAACAGAGCCGTCACTAAACAGACGCCTGTCAGGCTGCTTAGGGGAGCCTTCGAAAGACCACCAGTAATGCTCTTCGTGGCCAATGCCCGCTGGCGGAACGGTGACGAAATCTGGAGCGGTCTGGTAACCCAACAAGAGAATCTCCATAGCATCGAGATGGGTAAACGCTGAAACAAGGACCACATTGAGCTAATAAGGGGCACTGGCTTCTGCGCCCTTCCTCCGATCTGGGTCAGGGAGCCTATTCGAAGCCGAGGCTCTCCGTGGTCAGAAAGGCCTTTTCGTTTCTTATTCAGCGCCCCGTCTAGTAGCACGAGGGATGTATCCTCCTGACGGGTCCCCTGGTGCGCCGGCAAGAGTCAGTCGCTGCTGGCTCACCGCGCTTCGGCGCGACACGCTATCCACGTGCCGAGCCTTTCCGAGTCTCCAGCCCCGCGGAGCGGAGCGACACGCTGTCCACTCGCAGGGCACAGCGTGTCGCCTGGGCCGCCGTTTCGACACGCTAAGCAGAAGGTCCCGACCGTACAGGGGGCAGCTGATGGAGGCGGAACCGCGCCAGGGGGTGACCCTTCGGAGGCATCGGGCGTCGGGAGCCTTGTGACGGGGATCCCATGCCAGACCCAAACCTCCCTGAAGCGGCCACCATCCTGGAGAACCCGCTCGCAGACCCAAATGATCGGGCGGCAGATGCTGTTGCTAAGTATCAGTGAAGAGGGGTACGAGCTGAGCCACCGCTGCGATTGTGTCAAGGATCCCACGGGAGCTCCCCGTGCCCGGGCATGTATAGAGCGCGCTTCTCGGAATGTACGCTGGATGCGGGGGGCAGGCAACAAAAATAAAAAGCTGGCTGGACCACTACTAAATCACTTTGTGCAGCGGCGCGTGGTGACATTAGATTGCCCACCTGCCGTGAGGTCGTGCCGCCGCCCATGTCTACTGTGGGGGCCGCGTCTGTCTGGCGATACGACGGGATGCTAGGCAAAGGTTGAGGCGATAGAGGCGCATGAAGCCGCACGCTTCCTTGAGTCCAGACGGCTGCATATGTCTGATGGGTGCGACCCTCGCGAGAAAGCCTGCTGGAAGCGCTCCTGGCCTCTCAAGGTAAGGAGTGCGAAAGAAAATGCAAACGGGCGCTGGAACTGGCGCTAAGGAAAAAAGATGGGGCCACAGAAGGGGCGGGTGCCCCTCAGGGGGATAAGAAAACTGTGTCGCTACAGGGCCTGTAACTAGAGGGTGGCACGATTGAGAAAGACTGCAACGGCGCGGGTGAGGTGTTGACGCCAGTGCTGGAAGCGAGCTTCGGTGAGCATATTGGCCTCTGGCCGGAACCCAGCCCACGCTACACCCACTGACGAGTTGAGCCGCCCAGACGGTGCTCGTACATCGGACGCGAGCTGACGCTGCATCTCTCGTTGCTTCGGCCGTGCTGGTCGCAGATGTGAGCGCCTCCCGCCCTTATGAGCCCGTGCTCTGAGCGACCGAGCTCTTGCAATCAGGTAGAGAACATGAGGCAGGAGCGAGGAGGTTGGTAGGAGAAGGCAGGGCACACTTCCATCCGACCGATCTGCCTCGATGCCAGGTCCGGCCAGTGCGATCCGATGCGAGTCCGATGCTTTGGAGATCCGGTTCGGTCTAGTGTTTACATGGTGTAGGTGTGCATCTTGGCGCAGCCGATCCGATTCGATTTCGGTTCCGCGTCGATGCGGGGCCCGATCCGACGCACGTTCCGATTCGATCCCGAGCTCCCGATTCGACGCCGGCCGATCCTGGGAGAGGGAGGCAAGAGAAGGAGAGGGAAGAGGAAGAGGGAGGGTAGGAGGCGGACGCGGAGGAGTTGCGGTCAGGATCTTTGGCTTAGCGTGTCGCTCCGCTGGTTCTGGACCTCCACGCTTCGGCGCGACACTCTATCAACGTTCAGGTCCCCTAGCGTTCACGTTCCGAGCGTTTCCCGGCCTTCCGCCCCGCGGAGCGGAGCGACACGCTATCCGTTCGCAAGGCATAGCGTGTCGCCAGGGCCGCCGCCGCGGCACGATATCCAAAGGTTCTTGACCGTAAGGTCGTGAAGGAGCAGCGAGAAGGAGGGAGGAGAAGACAGGAGAAGGAGGGAGGAGAAGGGAGGGAAGAGCAAGGGGGAGGAGGTGGACCTGGAGGAGTTGAGGCCGTGGCGGATCCGCGAGAGCCTTCCGCCAGGCAGAGCTACACCTACCCCAACCATGGCGAGCGCGAGTGCAGGAAGACACCGCGCGGCGCCCTGCGCCCAGGTCCCGTCGAGGAGACGCCTGCGGCGAGCCACCGCCGGCCCCCCTGCCTTTCTGGAGACGCCGATGTGGCCAATCGCTGGGCCAAAGCTTGGCCAGTCTATGCCTAGGCCTCCAATCCTCCTCCTCCTCCTCCTCCTCCTCCTCCTCCTCCTCCTCCTCCTCCTCCTCCTCCCCCGTCTCCTCCTCCTCCTCCTCCTCCTCCTCCTCCTCCTCCTCCTCCTCCTCGAAGGCGATGCCCTTTCTGGAGGCACCAGTGTGAGGTGTTCCGGGAAGGGCCTTCGGTGGAGCTCCCAATGGGGCCACGAGCCGTGTGATTGGTGCGCCGAAAATGGAGGTTGGAACTCCATGCGAACTTTCCGACTGTGGCCTTCGGTGGGGCTCCCTATGGGGCCACGAACCGTGTGAGGGGTACGCCGAAATTGAGGGCGAAATTGCATACGAATTTTCCCACTAGGGCATGCGGCGGGGCTCCCTATGGGGCACCGAACCGTGCGAGGGGTGCGCCGACATGGGGGGGGGGAACTGCATGCGAACCTTCCCATTGGGGCCTTCGGTGCAGCTCCTTATGGTACCACGAACGTGCGAGGGGTGTGCCGAAATGTGGAGTGGACTTCATTCGAACTTTCCCCCAGGGGCCTTCGGTGGAGCTCCCTATGGGGCCACGAACCGTGCGAGGGGTGCGCCGAAAATGGAGGTTGGAATTGCATGCGAACTTTCCGACTGTGGCCTTCGGTGGGGCTCCCTATAGGGCCACGAAACGTATGAGGGGTACGCCGAAATGGCGGGGGTGGAATTGCATGCGAACTTTCCCATTGGGGCCTTCAGTGGAGCCCCCTATGGGGCCACGAACCGTGTGAGGGGTGTGCCGGCATGGGGGGGTGGTATTGCATGCAAACTGTCCAATTGAGGACTTGGCTGGAGCTCCCTATGGGGCCGCGAAACGTGTGAGGGGTGCCCCGACATGGGGGATGCGAGATTTTCCAATTGGGGATGCGGCGGGGCTTCCTATGGGGCCACGAACCGTGTGAGGGGTGTGCCGAAATGGGAGGTGAAACTGCATGCGAACTGACCCATTAAGGCATCGGTGGAGCTCCCGATGGGACTACGAACCGTGTGAGGGGTGTGCCGACATGGGGGGTGGACTTGCATTCGAACTTTCCCCCAGGGACCTTAGTTGGAGTTTCCTATGGGGCCACGAAGCGTGTGAGGGGTGCGCCGAAATTTGGCGCAGGTCTGGACCTAAACGGTGTTTTGGCGATTTCGTGGGCCGTTTTCGTTTCGACTTCGTTTTGCGGTAGACGAGGGAAAACGAAAACAAAACGAAAACGAAAAACACCGTTTAGCTTCAGCCCTGATTTGGCGGTGGTTTGGTGGTGGTGCCGTGTGAACTTTCCCATTGGGGCTTTCGGTGGAGATCTCTACGGAGCCAAGAACAGTGTGAGAGGTGATGATGAGGATGAGGATGGGGATGAGGGTGATGATGATAAAGATGGTGAATGGTGATGATGATGGTGATGATGATGATGATGATGATGATGATGATGATGATGATGATGATGATGATGATGATGATGATGGTGACGATGCTGATGGTGATGGTGATGATGATGCTGATGATGATGCTGATGATGATGACGATGATGATGGCGATGATGACGAAGGTGGTGGTGGTGGTGGTGGTTGTGATGGTGATGGTGATGATGATAATGATGGCGATGGTGGTGGTGATGATGGTGATGATGGTGATGGTGATGATGATGATGGTGGTGGTGGTGGTTGTGATGGTGATGGTGATGGTGATGATGATAATGATGGCGATGGTGGTGGTGATGATGGTGGTGATGGTGATGTATGTTAAAGGCGATTTACCCAACCACCGATTCACCTCCAGACCGACATCCAGGAGCCACGCGTGTGTGCAAGGGCTTCCCCCTGCTTGAGCGCCCGGGTCTAACCCCCAAGCCGGTCTGATCCGCCACGCCTGCGGCGAAGAAGAAGATGATGCCCTCCAAGTCCCCGGAGGGGGAACTGCCGAACCTGGGTCCAGCAGGAGAGACGGTCCCGCTGTCATTCGTCCGCTAGTCACCACATGAGAAAGGAAGTGAAACAAGCCCTGCGTACAAGGGAACGTGCTGCTGCGATGGCGGGACTCCTTATCCGGCCCTGGTGGTGGTGCCCCCAGGCGGGCTTTGAATGCTGCTTCCACCCCAGGCGCCAGAGCTCAACGACCAATGACCCCAAACAGTGGCATTCGGAAGCCCCAGAACAAGCCGGCGGTGGTACATGCGATAACCGTGCAAACATTGTCAGGGGAAATTCGCGGACGAGTGGGAAGAAGGAGGAGGGGAAACATGAGGGAGGGGGGGAGAGGGGAAGGGATATGGCTGTTCCAGGTCATACATACGGTTTGGTTGGCACAACCCCCATGCCGAAACCACAAGCCACCGCTGACGAAGGCCCGCTGCTAATTCGAATGCTGCCGACATTTAAATATGCTACCCTGCCACGCCTGCGGGGGAGGAAGACGAGGATGATGATGCTGATGAAGGTTGCAATGATGAGGCAGAGGAGGATGTAGCTGTGGAAGTAGAAGAGGGGCTATGCTATGACGGAGTAGACCATGTAACGAACTCAAATGGAATAGTCCTCGACCGAACCTGCACCCCCCGACGGCCACCTTGCCCGGCTTGGGTACAGAAGTGTATGATGTATGTTTAAGGCGATTTCCCCAACCACCGATTCACCTCCAGACCGACATCCAGGAGCCACGCGTGTGCGCAAGGGCTCCCCCTTGCTTGAGCGCCCGGGTCTAACCCCCAAGCCGGTCTGATCCGCCACGCCTGCGGCGAAGAAGAAGAAGAAGATGGTGATGATGATGATGATGATGATGATGATGATGATGATGATGATGATGATGATGACGATGACGATGACGATGCTGATGCTGATGCTGATGCTGATGCTGATGGTGATGGTGATGGTGATGGTGATGGTGATGGTGATGGTGAATTGATGATGATGCTGATGCTGATGCTGATGCTGATGCTGATTGCTGATGCTGATGATGATGCTGATGATGATGATGATGATGATGATGATTATGATGATGATGATGATGATGATGATGATGATGATGTGGTGGTGGTGGTGATGGTGGTGGTGGTGGTGGTGGTGGTGGTGGTGGTGGTGGTGGTGGTGGTGGTGGTGGTGATGGTGGTGGTGGACATGCGGGTACAACTGGGGCCTTCGGTGGAGCCCTTATGGGGCCAAGAAACGCTGTACTGGGTGGGGGTGACGCATGCGGGCGGTGCCACTGGAGCCTTTGGTGGATCTCCCTATGGGACCACGAAACGCTGTGCTGGTGGGGGTGGCTCATGCGGGCGGTGCCACTGGGGCCGTCGGTGGAGCTCCCTGTGTGACCACGAAACGCTGTATTGAGTGGGAGTGGCGCATGCGGGCGGTGCCACTGGGGCATTCGGTGGTGCCCCCTATGGGGCCACGAAACGTTGTACTGGGTGGTGGTGACGGATGTGGGCGGTGCCACTGGGGCCTTCGGTAGAGCTCCCGATGGGGCCACGAAAAGCTTTACTGGGTGGTGGTGGCGCATGCGGACGGTGCCATTGGGGCCTTCGGTGGAGCTCCTTATGGGGCCAAGAATCGTTGTACTGGGTGGCGGTGACGCATGCGGACGGTGGCACTGGCGGCGTCGGTGGAGCTCCGTGTGGGGCCACGAAACGTGTGAGGGGTGTGCCGAAATGGGCGTGGGTGACGCATGTGGGCGGTGGCACCAGGGCCTGCGCTGGAGCTCCCTATGGGGCCATGAAACGTGTGAGGGGTGTGCCGCAATTGGTGTGGCTGACGCATGCGGGCGGTGCCTCTGGGGCCGTCGGTGGAGCTCAGTTCGGGGCCACGAAACGCTGTACTGGGTGGGGGAACGCAGGGAGGAGGGAGGGGGGGGAGGAGGAGGAAGGAGAAGGAGGAAGGAAGAGGAGTGAGACGCGGGACGCCGTCTCTTCAAAACCGTTAGCTTGAAGAAGGACCCAACCAGAAGCAGTTGTGGATACCGCGTTCTGGGTCCATCGTTCGACGGGCCTCCCTATGCGGCCATGAACCGTGTTAGGGGTGTGCCAAAATGGGCGGGGAACCGCATGCGAACCTTGCCACTGGGGGCTTGGGTGGAGCTCCGTTCGGGGCCACGAAACGTGTGAGTGGTGTGCCGAAATTGGCGGGGAACCGCATGCGGACCCCGCCATTGGGTCCTTCGTTGGAGCTCCCTATGGGGCCGCGAAACGTGTGATGGGTGTGCCAACGTGACGGGGGTGACGGGGGGAGAGAGGGAGGAGGGGACAGCGGGAGGAGTGAGGACGCGGGGCGCTGTCTCTTCAAAACGAGAACCCAACACCACAGGATGGTTGGAAATGAAAACGTTGTAGTAGCCGTAGTCGTAGTGGGAGTGAGAGTGGTTGCAACCCTCCCACTGGCACGAGGAATTGAGAATTCGCTGGAGGGCGTGCGCAACTGATGCGCACCATATTCCCCCCACCCCCCAGCCTTCTTCTCAGTTGCCAGCCAGTCTGTTTGACTACTAGTTGTCATTCAGCCCTTTGCCTTGGCTGCCCAAATGTCCCCGTCCGTGGTGCGTACGTGCGTTCCTCTTCCTCTTCCTCACCCTCCTCACGAGCTGCTCATGTACGCGAGGCCTTCGGAGAGATGGTGCCAGCCCCCAGGGAGTTGTTCTTCGACCCGAGCGCGAGAGTGTTGGGATGTTTGTGACAAGGGAAACCGGCTGAAGGAGTGAGACGGGTTGGGTGGTGCAGTGACAGATATTAGTGGGCCCCATCGATAGCGAGCGAATTCGATTCCCCTGGATCCGAAAGCGGCCCGAAGATTACTGAGCTGACGGCTGCTGCAGATGTGTGTTCGTTCCTTCTCCCAATTAGCAGTGTGATTGCGAACCCCAGCATGTAGCCGTACGCGTGAGTGAAGCCGAGCAGAGGAGCGCCAACCTTCCGTCAAGCATAGGCGCGTGTTCCACGACAGGCTGAAGGAGCCCTAAGTAAGAGGTGAGCGGGATGCCGCTCCGGATACCCAAACATGACCAAAAGGACCTCCCCCGATTTCGCCACCGCTTGATCATGTTCTTCCTCCGCCCCTCTACCCCTTCCCCGCTGGGACTCCCTAGCGAGGATGTCGCAGACTGCTTCGTCGACAAGCTTCAAGCCCAGCAGGACGCGCAAGCGAGCGCGGCCCCCATGGCAGAAGAAGGAGATCAGAGGCAACGATCCCAGACCTCCTCGCGTTATGAAAATTAGCTTGGCGAAGAACCCTACCATATGCAGTTGTGAGCACCGTCGTTGTATGCACCGCATTCGGAGGAGCTCCTTATAGAGCCACGAAACGTGTAAGCGGTGCGCCAAAAGTTGTCCAGTGGGCGCATGCGAAAGCAGCCACTTGGGCCGTCGGTGGAATTTCCTATGGGGCCACGCAACGCGTGACGGGTGTGACGAAATAGGTGCGATGGGCACATGCGAACGCAGCAACTGGTGCCGTGCCGAAACGGGCGCGGTGGGCTCATGCGAACGCAGCCACTGGCGCCTTCGGTGGAGCTCTCTAAGGGGCCACGACACCGTGAGGGGTGTGCCGAGACGTGCGTGGGTGACGCATGCGAGCGGTGGCACTGGGGTCTTCGGTGGAGTTCCCTCCCTTTGGGGCCACGAAACGTGTGAGGGGGGTGACGAAATGGGTGTGGGTGACGCATGCGGGCGGTGGCACTGGGGCCTTCGGTGGAGCTCCCAATCGGGCCACGAAACGCGTGAGGAGTGTGCCAAAATGGGCGTCGGTGACGCATGCGGGCGGTGGCACCGGTGCCTTCGGTGGAGCTCCCTATTGGGCCACGAAATGTGTGAGGGGTGTGATGAAATAGGTTTGGGTGACGCATGCGGGCGGTGGCACTGGGGCCTTCGGTGGAGCTCCCTTTGGGGCCACGAAACGTGTGAGGGGTGTGCCGAAATGGGTGGTGGGTGACGCATGCGGGCGGTGGCGCTGGGGACTTCGGTGGAGCCCCCTATGGGCCCACGAAAAGCTTTACTGGGTGGGCGAAACGCAAGGAGGAAGGAGGAGGTGGAGGAGGAGGCGGGAGGAGGGAGGAGGAAGGAAGGAAGGAAGGAAGGAAGGAAGGAGGAGACGCGGGGACCGTCTCCTCAAAACGAGGACCCAACACCACAGGATGGTTGGGAAATATCAGACACGACAGGAGGTTGTTCGTTGTTTTCTGTCTCCAGGTGCCCTTACTGGGCCTCGGGACCGTCAGAAAACGATTCAGAACGAAAAGTCAGTCCCGGGGAAAGGGTCCAGACCTATGGGGGTCGAGTTTGTGAAATTAGCTTGGCGAAGGACCCAACCAGATGCAGTTGTGACTACCGCAATTATGAATATCATCTTCGCCCGCGTTCCCTCTGGGGCTACGAACCGTGTGAGGGGCGTGCCGACATGCGTGGCGTGGCACACAACGAGAGCGAAAACGATAGGTCTGGGCGCGAGAGACTGAGAGCCAATGAGTCTGATTGTGGATGAGTCTGCGCGCGCGTGAGTCTACGTGCATAAATGTCGACGCCCATGTCGGCACGCATCTCACGGGGATCGCGCTCGCTTCCTTCCCGTTATTATTCTCCCTCTTTGCCCGTGCACGCCCACGTCCAAGGTTGCGGGCGTGGCGCCGCAAGGAGTCCCCGCGACGCGCGCTGGTCGCCCCGAAAGGGTCCCGGCGACGCGCGCGGGTCGTCCGCTGCGCGGAGCAGAGAGGGCGAGCAGGCTGGTTCCCGCCCGGGATGCGAAGCCCGAAAGCGGTTTCAATACGTCGAATACGACGAAAAAATTCAGAAAATCGAAAGTCGCCGCCACGCGAACTCCGCCACTGGGCCGCCATACGAGTTCCGCCACGGAGACCTTAGGTGGAGCTCCTTGTGGGGACACGAAACGTTGTATTGGGTGGTGGATGACGCATGCGGGCGGTCCCGCTGGGGCCTTCGGTGGAGCCCTCTATGGGGCCACGAAACGTTGTGCCTGGCGGTGGATGGAGGATGCGGGCGGTCCCATTGGGGCCTTCGGTGGAGCCCTCTACAGGGCCACGAAACGCTGTACTGGGTGGTGGGTGACGCATGCGGACGGTACCACTGGAGCCTGCGGTGGAGCTCCTTATGGGGCCACGAAATGTTGTGCTGGGTGGTGGATGACACATGCGGGCGGTCCCAGGGTGGTGGATGACGCATGCGGGCGGTCCGACTGGAGCCTGCGGTGGAGCCCCCGTATGGGGCCACGAAACGCTGCACTGGGTGGTGGATGACGCATGCAGGCGGTCCCACTGGAGCATTCGGTAGAACGCCTTATGGGGCCACGAAACGTGTGAGGGGTGTGGGGGGGACGGGAGGACGGAGGAGGAGGGGGAGGAGGAAGGAAGGAAGGAAAGAAGGAAGAACGCGAGGTCCGTCTCTTCAAAACGAGGACCCAACACCACAGGATGGTTGGGAAAAATCACGACGTCGGATTGGTCAGGGGAGGATGCATCGACCCACAGTCGCCCATTGATCGCCGGTAGGGGTCTGATGGCCCCACCCCGCCCAGTAACGTGGGGATTCGCCATGTGGGGGCCCATCGCCGATCGATCGACGACGCATCGCCGACTCGAGGACGATGTCTTCCCCCCTGAACCACCCTCCCCGTATCGAGACCCCTCGGGAGAGGGAACGGCTGCAGGGGCACTCGAGGGAGACAGAATTTTCGGATGGGAACAAAACGCGCCGTGATGGAAGCACACAGTGATCACAATCCGAGCAGAATGAGAACGGTGAAGGAAACGAACATGGATGCACAACCAAAGATACGGGTGGTGACATTGGATTTAGACGATGAGGATGCGGGGGCCCTAGAGGGCCTCCTCTCTCGCTTGCGCGCGACGGGAGGGCCCCCAATCCGTGTCATCAGAGCGGCCCACGGTGCCGCCTCCTCCAACCCCCCGCCCCTCCCTCTTCATGTTCCTGCTCTTTCTCCTCCTCCTCCTCCTCCTCCTCGTCCTTTTTCCTCCTCCTCCGCTGATGATACTGTTGTTATTGCCCCTCCTCCTCATGATCCTTCTCCTGCTCCTCATCATCCCCCTTGGCCATCCACCTCCCTGGCCCCGGTCATCCTCACCATAAGCTGAGGCTCTGCCAGGACGGGCTCGCCACCAGCATATACCAGCAGCATCTTGACAGCAGGGATGCGTCGGCACGAGCCCTTCGCTGCGTGATGCCGACGAACCTGAGCGCAATTACGTACGATCGTCCATCCTCCCTGGTCATCCTCCTCATTCCTCCTCACCCTCACCCCACACAATCCTGGCAGCAGCCACCTGCACATCTCGGTACGCAGTCCCGTCAGCAGCCACGGACTCAGCAGTGGCTGCTGAGCGTGCCGCCACGCCGTGCCTGCGGACTCCGTCGGCACGGTCGCTCCTCAGCCTCGTCCCTGGCCCTCCCCCCTCTCCCCTCCCCTCCCTTCCGGGCGCCGCCGCTCATGAAAAGACGAGAAGACGGAATCGAAACCCACATGGGAATCCCAGCCGACCGTCCCCCTCTCGCCGCAGCGGCCGGCCTCAAGACCAGGGCTGCGAGGCCCGGAGGTACTCGGCGGCCAGCAGCTGCCTGGCGAAGGTGTCCGGCAACTGGAGTGGCGCCGCCGCTGCGGCACCACAGCGTGCGCGCGCCCAGCCTCTGCCAGGGGCCCTCGCTCGCGCGCGGCGGTGGAGGGGAAAGGGAGGAGTATGGTGAGGAGAGGAGGAGAGGAGGAGCGAGGAGGAGCGGGGAGGAGGAGGATGAGGAGGAGGAGGAGGAGGAGCGAGGAGGAGGAGGAGGAGGAGGAGGAGGAGCGAGGAGGAGGAGGAGGAGGAGGAGGAGGAG